TTGCATAATTTTGTAGAGTAACGTCCGAACTATCTACGCATGCAAAAAAATTACTAACATTGTATGTTAGTTTTCTGAGAACGGAGCTGGTTTTCCAAAGATCCTCTGAAAACCCGATCTCTGAAATTTTTTCAAAAGTTGCTTCCGCTTGTGAAGAGTTCTGCTCAAGTTTTGGCTATTGAACAGCGAAAATCGCAGGTCTCTATCTCATTCCTATCAAAAGTTATTCAGAAAATGCCCATGGGTCTTGTATTTTGGGATGGATAGTATCTCTCACTCTTCAGTACTATCTTCTCCAGATCGTTGTTATCACTCTCTCTGTAATACTATCTCTCTCTCCTGCTTTCATGATCCTATATATAGTGGGGTGATTTATTGAATAAAAGACACACTAACCAGTGTGAATAGTACGAATACACAGAGAGAGTGATTACAAAGACCTGGAGTAGGTAGATCCAAAGTTGATTCAGAAGAATATAGCGAAAATAGTTAGATTTTGATTTATTCGTTTGCTTGCATATTATATATTATTATCAGTGAAACTGTTAGTCTCTTTTTTTCGCTGAGATTTTTTCACGTTTGTTTGTTTTTTCTTCATCTGGAAAATCAGTTGTGATCTCTTTTTTTTGTTGTTATATATTCTCTCTTTTTCAAATTTTCCTTTGTACATAAGCCGTAGTCAGAAATAAGAAATAAATATATTGCAAATAGAAGTTAAGGTGTGCTAAACTTATTTTTATAGGACAACTCTTGGATCTGAAGACAACTTTGTGCATTAGCCTTAATCAAAATGCTAAGAAGCTTTTTGTGCAAGTCAATGTGCATCAAATCTTACCGGACGTTTTCTCGAGATCTGATGCTCACACTTATTTGCTTTCAAAATAAATAAAACGAACCAAAATCCTCGGTTTTTCTGTGAATATTTCCTTTTATACTAACGTTGAGTAATGCAAGTGATGTATGTTGAACTTAGTGAATTAAAGTTGAAAATTCACAGAAAAATGAAGAATTTTTTAGTTGTTTTCATTTATTTTGAAAAAAAGAAGTATCGAGCGGCATGAAGTGTGCCCAGTACACACTTCACATTCTTCAATTCTATTGGTCAAAATCGATCAGTAGAAAAACACTACACACTTTAAGATTGTTTTTTACACATTTGAAGTATGTACTTTGCCGACAGTGAGGATGTTCCGATAAAGCGAATATTTCTCATACTGTTCCGCCTCTCTGACATTAAATGTACACAATCTTTTGTTAATACGGCTAAAAAGTATTTTCGAGCTCCATTATCTATTCAACGAGATCACCCAAAACTGGGCGGACAGAGAGCGGCAAGCGATCTGAACTTCTCAGAACTTTTGAAACATTTCTCGTTTGACACTTATTTAACAATCGTTCGTCACTTCTCTTTTCTGTATAAATTTGCAAAGAAGAAATCTTCGAACATATCTATCCTCCTTGGTTCTCAACCAGTCCAGTTAAATGCTGGACTCGATTGATACTATTACTCTACAATTATTGACAACCATCTAATTATAGGCCTCACGCCCATTTTGCAAGAAATTTTATTAGTAATTGTTTATAATTTCCCATTTTGAAAGCAAACTATTTAAGAGAAAGTAGCCATTTTATTTTATAAATCTAAATATTTCCTAATTAATTAACCATAATTATTCGAGTGCATAAAAGAACTCTTTATAATTGTATACATAAACCTATTTTTGGATCAAACAGTTCATAATTCAATCCAGTTTGAAGTATCATCACTGCACGTTGATTGTGACATAATATAAAGAATGAATGACATATTAGAAGAATATTTCGAGCATGATTTCTGGAATTTGTTCGATATCTTCAATTTGCGTCCAAAGACGAATAACACTGCCGAATGTTATCATCGAAAGCAAAATTCGTAAGCACATTTTGACATTTGTAGCTTAACTATAACTTCATAATTCATTTTTTCATTTCGAGACGCGTACCGGCTTATCTCGACGCTTGTCATTTGATAGAACAAATTCGAAAGGAAGAAGGTTTTTGCGCAATCATATTGTTGTAAAATAAATCCATGTTCCTATATAAAAATCTATACTCTTCTCTTAATTAATTTTGCTCGCAAAAATGGGAAGCAACCGATTATAGACGACTATATTCCATTAAAAAGAATCAGCATTTGAATCAATTGATCAACATGAGTTATGAAAATCAAACCATACTAGAGAATCGCCATATTATCTACAACTTACAGAGCGTAATGATCAAAATTGTTATAAATCGACACAACAAATTTAAAAACCAATATTATCCAAACTGATACATACCTTCTGAATCAACGGATAATGAAATTAGTTCAATTATTAAGGTAAAAAATCATATGATGATAACAGACTATTACAAGGATTAGTATTAAACGCAATTCATCTGTTCTATCTTGAGCGTGTGTTTTGTGATAGGTCTACGTTTTTTCGTTACATTGTATCACACTGTGTGTTTGTTGAATAGAAGAAACATTCTAACTGGAAAAAGTACACTGCCAAAAAACGAAATTTCTTTAAAATGGAACATGCAGAGGATAGAGGAGTTCTGCAGAAATAAACAGGAGGACAAGTGTCAGACATGCCATATTATATCTGACAGTCCGTCACGGATGGCTCTATCAGTGATTCATATGGCCTATGTGATAAATTTCTATTGAGTACATCAGGCCTGGGCGAGTCAAGCCACTTTTCGAGTCGAGTCAAGTTATTTTTGCCATTTTTTTCGTTTTCTGTTTATGTTTATAAACAACGTTTACAACAATTTTTTCATGGCACGATATCTAGTTCCTAGTTTTTATGTACAAAAAATCGTTCTGATACAATATATTCAATTAGGACGAAAGTTATGAATAAGTGAAAATTTAATCTTATAAATTGTAAGTTTTTTATAAAAACAAATGAAAACTTTTTTGAATGAATGATTCAGGTCAAACAGTCGAGTCACCAACACCCAATTTTCGAGTCCGAGTCATGCCAGTCTTTAAACAAATGTGATTCGAGTCGACTCGAGTCCGAGTCATTCGTCCAGCCCTGGTCTACACCATGTCCGATTCACGATCATGAATAAAAACTTGTCTACGAATGTTCATGTATGAAAACGAGATCTTCTTTCATTTCTTCATCATCACTCATGGATTGCATTTGTTCACGCGAATCTTCTCTGACAGATAAAAACTGTTTACGAATAAGGGTGCCTAGATTTTTTTTTTTCGTCTATTCACTTGTATACAGCTGTGGACACATTTTTATTCATGACAAATGGTGAAGAAATGTAAAATTATTATTATTGTTCTCACAAACAGCTGCAGGTGGACGAATTTTTATCTACAAGTGTTCACTACTAAAATGTTGGAATCACTTGGTGCGAGAATAATGTATTGATGCATGAAGATGAAGAAAAATATCTTTCCAGAAGTAGATATCGTGCACTATCGCACACTTAGCCTAGCGTTGAAACAAATTAATCTTTTTTTAATCGGAATCATCCCTAAGCTATAGAAGTCAGTGAACTCGATCATTTCCTCTCAACGCTATATCGCTTGAAAAGCAACAGCCGAAAATTGACGTAAGAATAAAAATAGTGAAATTTTTTTCCATTGATCTCTGCTTTTTCGCGTAAAAAATTTGAACTTTTTCTAAATTTTTCTTTTAATTAAAGATCTAGGAGTGCGATTTCTCTCCTTCATCAAGGTTGATACGCCATTTCTGTTCCCAGATGCTTCGGTTGAGTTATTACTACTTTCGTACTACTCCGGTAAAAGTTCCCGTCTTACTAGTGATAAGTGATTTCCGTTGGTGCGAAAAGGGGAAAGATGCGATGAGAAAACTACAAGAAAATATTTTTTTAATCAAGTTTAATTGGTAATTCTATACGGGAACTATGGTGAATTTCTCAACGGACATTTTAGACAGCAAGCACCAACCGTGGATACTATCAGTTTTCGCGTGTGAATTTTTAAAATTTTTTTATTTTTTAATTTTTATTTTTTTTCTATTCTATTATTTATTTTAGATAAAAATCATTTTTCTATTAAATACTTCATGTTCAATGGATCGGTTATTCACGCGTTCATCATCACCTCGTCAAATAATCCTGTCTTTCTATCGTTATTTATCATCGTTTAAACCATTTTCACCTGTTCCAATGGAAGCACGAATTGTAAGTAAAACTGTACAACGAACATCAAACGACGATAGTTTTGATTGGTTAGAACCTGATGAAAAATTTCCATTACCTGGAAAAATTAGAGCAGTACAAACACAAGTACCACCTGTATCTGAACTCAATGCCAATAAATATGGTGATGATGGTAAAATATTGTTAGATGAAGTGATAACCTTAACTGTGCCATATGATCTTCAGACAAATGCATTAACTCAAATAATGGCAACACATTTAGAACTCACTTCACCAACATCAATCGATACTGCATTTCCCAAACTACTTTTACACGATAATGATAAACTAGAAGTGAAAGCGTTTGAATGTCCAATATTACTTAGACAACAATTGAAACAATTATTTTTAAATTATAATGTCATTCAACAACCATTAACAGCAATAACCCTATGTATGAAGACAAATAATGATATGTCACAATGGTCAAATAAAATTGAAACAGAGCGAAATGAAATGATTGATGAATTTATCAAGTTGGCAAGTGAAATATGTTCATATCTAATTCAAAAACAATATTGGGCCGATTTTATTGATCCAACATCAGGTAAGAAAAATGTTAGATTAACGAGGAGACATATTCAAGTGCTAAATTACTTTTTCTGCAAAACATACTTTATTATATGTAGCTTTTGACTTAACTACAAATCGGATGTCTGTTCAGGCAGCTAAAGTGGCCGAAAAAACGTTTAAGAACAAGATTATTTTTGTTCTTTCTCGTGAACTCTAGTAGCCACAACAAATCAGAGGATAGATTCGTACAGCACTGACTTCCATGTGTGCATATATATTATTGAAAAAATTTCACCTTAACTCTAACCTTCTTAGAAAGAAATGTTTCCCATAAATCCAGGATCTCCAAAAACTCTATTTTTTTTAAACCCAATGCAAACATTTCTTCCATCATTTAGTAAGATCAACCAAACACTTCTCTTCGACATGAGACCTTCCGCAGTTCTCCACAACCTTTTTTCATTGAGTTATGACTTTTACACTACAAGCTCCAAAGCGATCATCAGCCTATAACAGCTCTTTTTTTCACAATGCAGCTAAGACTTCTGCTGGCGGGATTTTGGGTTCCCGCCTCTGAAGATCTACTACAAATATTTGAATCAAGCAATTCTAATACGATCGTTGTCCAGAGAACATTGAGTGGTCTACTGGAAAAAAAATAAGGAAGGATTTCCTAAGTTATAAAAATTTTGATTTCCAGGTTAGCGAAAACATCTCGCTTTCCAGCTATCTTTATAATCCAGTAAAAACTTGCTCAATACTTCCTAAAAAGTTTTTTCAATAGATTATTCAATGTTCTCTGGACAATGATCGTATTAGAACTGCTTGATTCAAATATTTATGGTAGATCTTCAGAGACCGGATCTCTGCAGACTTACATAGGAAGGATCTAGCTGCCGGAACGGAGATCCAGTTCGTGATCAAGTCCAAAACTACATATGATAAAGTATGTTTTGAAGAAAATGTGATTTAGCACTTGAATATGTCACCTTCAAGAGAAGTGGGAGTTCACTACTCATGAACAAATAAGGATATGATTCATCTTATAATTTTTGCTTTTTGCTGTTTTCATAGGCACACCCTTTTATGGTCCTCATACACAAGATACATTGTTTGAAACGGATGAACGTTTCAGGTATTTTGGTTTGAATATAGTTGATTTAGGATGTTGTCGTGTAATTGAACATATTCAACATGGTACACACATATTTGTTGGCTGTTTATTTACGTCTGCATACAAAACAGATGAAAATGTTGTACATTTATTGAAAGATTTTATTATCAAGAAGGAACCGGTAAGAAACAATATTAAAGAAGAACAAGAACCACTGAAAACAATGAAAACACAAGAAAATGCTGACAAAGATGAGGCAACATCCACATCCACGTCAGTCGGAACAAAGACAACAACACCAGTTAAAGATAAAAAAAATTTAGAACTTGAAGCTCCTACTGTATATTAACACTGTACATATAACCATGAATAACGGTCTCACGGTCTGTTTTGTTTTCTTCGTTTCTCCTCGTTGCAGTATGAGATAAACTTGTAGATGTTAGTAAAATTAAAAATTAAAACTCCGCGATATTTAATATTCTTTAATTGTGATTGTTAACATATATCTGTCTTTCAGGTGTGATAAAAAAATTGAAATAAAGTTTTGTGAAGAATTTAATGGTTTCCTTCATAACATACACCAGGCGTTCTTCATCAAAGAGATCTATTGCAAAAATCCTTATTTCACGTTTTGTTTTCGATTTAATAAACAAAACGTGTTATGAAATCATAATTAGAGATAAAAAGAATTTAAAAAATCTTTGAGCACATTGAGCTGATTAAGAATATGTGTGTTTTAAGTTTTAAAAAAGTTGTTTTATGGGAGAAAATTTGAAAAAACGCGAAGGGTGTAGAAATGTCGAAAAACGCTTTAGTTTCAAAAAACTTCAAATTTTCGTCGTTTTTGTTCTTCTAACTTTTTTATAGTATTTTTTCCAGATTCAGCATTAAAAAGTGAGTATGAGCGATGTTCGATTGAGGCACAGGAGCGAAAACATCGGAATTTTGCCTGTAATTATCAACTTCCTTTATCGGACAACTTGCCTTTTATGCCTTTTATGCAATAAAAATATTATATTTATATAAAATATTAATATAAATAAATATTATATATATATTATTATATCAGAACTTGAGTGCTGATGGATAAAATTGATAATTACAGGCAAAATTCTGATGTTTTCGCTCCTGTACCTCGATCGAACATCACTCATACTCACTTTTTAATGCTGAATCTGGAAAAAATACTATAAAAAAGTTAGAAGAACAAAAACGACGAAAATTTGAAGTTTTTTGAAACTAAAGCGTTTTTCGACATTTCTACACCCTTCGCGTTTTTTCAAATTTTCTCCCATAAAACAACTTTTTTAAAACTTAAAACACACATATTCTTAATCAGCTCAATGTGTTCTATCAAACCATGTATAATATCACAAAATAAAGTTTGTCTCAATTTTTTAATTACCGGCACCTTAAAAACCAGCTCTTTTGTTTTGATTGTTTAATAAACGCAATACAACAACAATAACATAAACATTATCTAGAATACAGTTGAAGATAAGAATGACGCACACGTAAAAAGAGAAACAACAAATAAAATGAAAAACGAAATATTTCTTAATGTATGTAAAAAGGACTAGGTTTAAAAAGAGAAACTATAAAAAGAAAAAAATATATACGTATGTATTATTTGAACATTTAGTCTTATAAACAAAATAATCGTCTACCAGACACGATATAATCATTCAATTATTCACGCACACACATATGTATAAGACAGATAAAATGAGAAAAAAATTGTTGTTAGTAAATGCACGAATATGTACACATTCATCACAGAGTTAAAATCACGAAGAATTAAAGAGAAAACAGAGGTCATCTATGGCTCTTTCCCTCTCTATTTCTCAGCTGTAATTGCGCATTAGGCTATCAAGGATTCGATTAATTCGACATATTAGAGAGGAGTAGTTTGGATGGTACCCTTGAATAAAAAAATTCAAAATTTTAAATTTAGTTTAATGAACTGGTCGTCATAAAAGCATTGATGACGACATTACATGATGATATTAGTAAAATAAGAAATAGTGATAAATTATTTAGACGTTCTAATTTCGTTTGTTTTAACGGATTTCGTATATCGCCTTTGCCAACTAATACGAGCAAAAAAGCCAGTCCAATCTGTAATAATATTGAACAACATACTAAAATTATTGAAATAATCCAGATTGCATTACGATGTTTTTGAAGAAATAATGTTCGTAATTGCATCGCATTTGAGGCTAAAACGTTAAGAAAAATTATAGTTATCGAATCGAACGAAAGATTAGACGCATCATTCTCTCAAATCTACTCACTTAATAAGGCAAATTCTAACATTCCATGCCCCATTGTCTTTCTCGTTGCATAGCGATTATAATTACAACCACATTCCATATCACTTTGGGCCTAAATAAAATACGAATTTTGAGAGAATATTTAGAGATTGTTTCTAATTACAACAAAATAATAAAGATTCGTCTTAAATGTGACACCGACCTACAAATACCGATACATTGTACTATTTCCGAACTGGTGCGCAACGCTAATCAAAAATAAAAAATTTCTTTCTAACTATTTTTTATCAATGTGATTAGATAATTATCAGTGATAGTCTCCATATGTCGAATATACAGACGTAAGCGAATTAAAATCAATTCATACGAAAAGTCTTGATATCAACTTTGTTCTATGATGTCTCTGAGAATGCGTAACTAGTTAGGAATAATGCATGTATCTCAGCAAGAAAAGCCGTTTCATGTTTAGAAGTGTAGTAAACATCTTTCACAACGTTATGTTCAAGACTAGACAATACGTATTTTACATCACAGCTACTAAATTCGGTGAGTTATGGGGAATGAATGAAATAATGGTACCACTTTTCATTTTTTGTTTGTTTTTTCTTTATTATCCTGTAGTGTGATATTCATCAAGAATCATAAGTTTAGTTGAACAGAGGAGTTAAGGAAAAAAACTAGATGACCATCACACACATATTTTACTATAGTAGTAATATTGACATAAAAAGATAAACTAAACAATTGAAACACCTTTAAATGTTCGTTTGATATTCTATATATTATACACGTTTACATAATATCACTATCTTCATAGTTCTCTACGGATCATCGCATATTGCGCGTACGAATTGACTTTGGATACTAGTTTCTCCTCAAAACCTCAACTTCACCAAATCGAATACACTGTCGGCGTATTAGAAGCGAAAAATTTGAGATGGAATATGGTAGAGAACAATAAAAGAATTTGTTTGTTTTCTAAACTGATAAAATGAAAAGTTGTCCATTTCGTCCCAAACGTCTTGTCGTATATAGTCAAAAGGTGGAGAAGTTTTAAAACCTATATTATGATATTATAAATATCTACTTTTTTGATTATAAGTATTTTCACTCGAGTAGCACTTAACAGTTTGCTAAGAACCTATTAACCAAGTAATAAAGTTTTAACATGTCAGTTTTTGAAACAATTACTGTACCAGAAAACATTTTCAGACTTTTCATTTATGGATGGATAGAGCTTTTAACTTTTCATATTTATCATTTAGACACTTCTAAACTTCGTTTAATCTATTTGATTTAACAAATTATTTTAATTATGTGGTGAATGGCTTTAAGCTTGTGTCTTCTACTTTAAGCAGTCTTATTCAAATTCTTGATCATTTCACTCTATTCTCATACGGTGCATTCTACTTTAAACACATTAGTGTTGAAAATGATGATTAAACCGTGCGATTAGGAATACCCACTGCCTCTTATAGAAAGTAGAACAAACTTTCAAAAACGTCTAAAGTGATATAAGACTATTCACATCTTCTATAAGATTTAATCAGATGCATGACTAAAAACACGAAGCCTTTTAGTAAGACGTTTCTTAAGTGCATAAAATTTAGAAACACATTAATACGGAATTCAAGCGGTGTTCATAGGAAAATGAAGTTGGAAAATATATTTTTCGTCAATGTCCAGAAGAGACAGTGGTAAGAGTTCAGCAATAATAATTTAACTTTTTAAAATATCATCATCTTCGTATCTCACGTTAGTGATTCAAATATTATTATTCATTTATTTATTTATAAATGAAAACTGAATCAATTCTTAAAAGTGAATCAAAAAAGAAAATGAAGATTTATTCGATTAAGTGTTTAGAATAGCTCAAAGATATCTCATTACACACATGCATGTTAATTATAATTGTTCGAATCGACACGAATATTTGATATATTAAAACTGAAGTTAAAAGTGCACGAACCATATTTATAACATTTAAAAAATAATAACAATAACTACAACAAACATGTGCATAACTTACATGTTTCGATGTACCGCCATCGCCTTCAGTATCCTCTTTTGCGTCCTATGAAAAGTATCAACTCAGTCAAATGAATCATTCTACTAACCGTATATTATAAAGTCATGGAAAGACGATCAATGAACATCCATAGGTAAAAAGAAACGATAATTTACCCTTTTAATTCCATCGTTGATTGCTTTTTCAACTGATTGTATTGTTATTGGTCGATCAGCTCTTGGTGGTGGTTCTGGTTGTGGTAAAAGAGTCATTTCTACTTCATTTCGTGGACCACCATATGGACTAAAATTCCCATATGATTGCGGATACATCACTGGTGCCGAAGGATTATTTGATTCGTTTGTTTCATGATGTGTAGAACGACGATAATCCATTTAGTAATAGTAAAGAGGATTACTAACAATTGATTTCAGCTCTCTCAACGTCCGATGTATGTTTGTCTTTCAGATAGCTGTGATATTCAAAATGATAGAGATAGAAATTACAAATAAAATGTATATTTTAGATCTATAGGCAAGCCATTCTCTCTTCTCTCTTTTTTTTGCGCGTATGTGTTGGTCTTACACTGCATGTGTAAAATAACTTTTAAAAGAAAAAAATACGAACTGGTAAAAAAAAAAGTGCTTAGACAAACACGTAAAAAAATTATGAAATACAAAAAAGAAATAGAGAAGACTAAAAATTAATACCAACACTTAGTTGCTTCATAGAAGAAAGGGAGGACTTGGTATTTTCTATGTGTGGAAGAGAGTATTTGTCATATTTAAACGTCATTGCTCAACATTTTGAGGAAATTTTTAGTTTCCAAAGTAAGGCAGTTCTCAATCGTTCGATGTGTGTAAAAAGTTTGAAAACTCTTGTGTCTCTAAAGAATAAAGAAATATATAATTTTCTTTCCTTTTCTATAGCTTTTACAAACAAAACTTGTATGCATGTTCCGACATCATCAATATTTATTCTTCGAAAAAAATATGTTCATCAGAGTCAGAGCTTCGAGTAGTATAAAACTGTAGTCTAAATAATGACCTTTTCCTATGCTCACGTTTTCTTTAACGTATTCCTTATTTCTGAAGAGAGTCGATACATATAAATTAAGATTTGTGAAGAAAAGTCAAAAGAATTTTACTATTTCCACTATTTAAAGCACGTTAAACAGATTAGCAAAAGTTATGATGTCTCTCAAGAAATGGCATGGTGTTAGTCGGAGAAGGAAAGCGGTGTCAACCTATCAATTCCAGTACAATCTCAAGTGATAGGCAGATACCAAAGGGAAAAAATTGTATAGTATAATTGGTATGTATCTTATGCCTTCAGTGGATCTATGTCCGTTTTGAAAGTTATCATAGACAAAAATACAAAAACAAATCTTAGTGATTTTTTAACAATAAAAAAGAGATTGGAGCCAACTGTCAATCTTATACTCCATGTGTTACTTCGCTATGACAATTAGGAAAGGGGTTTTTATGAAGAAAAAAGTACGAAAAGCCATACTATAGGTTTTCTTACTATTACATAAAGGAATGATAGATATTCCAGACGAGTGCAATGCTAGAGTGCTTTAGTTTAAAGAAACGAAGCAAATATTACGAGCAGTTGAAGATTGCCTTTTAAAAAAATGACTGGAATCTATGCTAACAATTTTAAACCCTTAGTGTAGCACCTCAACTGGAAAAATTTACTTGATTACCCGACTCTCCAGCAATATGAAAACAATACTTTGAATACATTTGCCCTGATAAAAAGATGTTGATTTTAATCTCAGATTTTTAACTTTTTTTCTTTCGGTCCATTTTTTTGTTCTTTTACACCAACTACATGGTGAGAGAAAAAAAGGAAAAGTTTTGTTCATTTTTAGAACTCTTCTTTCTCTCCTCAGCTGATCTGTACTAAGCATGAAGAAAGAAAGAAAGAATTTCATATGAAAAATAAAATACGCGAAACTGTTGTAAGAAATAAAAGTGAGTCAATTTTTTTGTTATAAAACGTACAAAGCAATGTTCTTTTATGATTATTGTATTCATACAAAACGGAGATTTGTCATACGCTTGCCATTAAACGTCTTGTATGCAATGACAGTAATAATAGACAAAAACTTAAATGCAAAGTCACACTCTTATTTTATCAATAAGAGACAACAAAATCAAAATGTTCACTTTAAGCTGGAATCATATGATAATTTTTATACGATTTAGTAAACAAAACGTGTTATGAAATCATAATTAGAGATAAAAAGAATTAAAAAAATCTTTGAGAATACGAAAAATGATCTGATAAGAGAACTCGCGCTTTATTGTTATTTGGTTTAAGCTATTTTTATTTCTTATTCTTCCTTATTTATTTATTGTTATTTTATTGTGCTTGGTTTCAATCGAATTCTATAAAATGTCTAGTCTTCCGAAGCTTTCATAACTCATGCTGATAACCTCTTCGCATACCGATGTATATACACTCTCACCTAAAAAAAAAATTGTTCATCATCTGATTAAATTTAAAATCATATAGAAGGCGAACTGAGATGCTCAGGACAATCAGAACAAGGTCAAAAACTTTTTCGGTATTTTTCTCACCACTTCAAAAGCTGAGAACATTCCAACAAACTTTCAGTGGGAAATTTATAGAGGATATCAACAGACATTGAATGATACAAGTCTTAACAGCAAAAATATTAGTAGCTGTTTTACTGAGGGAGTTTCCAAAACATTCTTATGTTATACTAATGATAAATTAGAACGTTTGTCTTCTTGGAAGTAAATGAAGAGCGTGTGCAAAAATGCACAAAATTCTCTCAAAGACGTAAGGCGCTCCAAATTCGAAGTTACAGTGAAATTCGCAATCCACTCTTGTTGTATATTCCTAGACGCAGAATTTTACGCTGATTCAGAATATCACCTTTAAAATTCGATTAACTTGTGTCTTCGTTGAGAAAACCGAAAAAACGTGTTTTTTTGCCAAAAACGACTGATTTTGTAAAAATCACTTTATATTTTGTTACAACAACTATTTGGAATGAATTATTCTGACTCATCATGAAAACTGCATCGTTCTACGTAAGTTTTAAAATTTTCCAATGATAAAAGTGATCCGCAAATCCACACGGATCGATATAATAATGCATTTTACCTCGACCCAGCAAAAATGCCATTAGATTTTTTTCGTAATAGATACAACCTTAATTCTTTCGCCATTCGATTCCCCATGAAATTTTCTACAAACGCACGGATCGTTTTTTGAATTTTTTTTCCCTTGCTGAGTTATGAGATTTTTACCGAAAAAGACTGAAAAATGCGAGTTATTCGAAAAATCCTTCAGATGATGAGCCCATAGCTCAGTGATATTTCCACCCAGAGACCTGCTATTATGCTTTTCTACGTAAAAAGCAATGCTAAACACGTCAGAATGCGTTTGAGAGGTTTGGAGTTTTCCAAGTAGATCTTTCAAAAAACCAGAACTCCGAGAAACCTTCAAGAGCCTTTCGGAAATCTATTTCGACCCAAGCGTATCATATGGACAGAGCGTCAAATTCTGAGCAAAATGAGACGTCCTCGAGCCTTCTAGCACATCTCCAGGCTGAGATAAGACCATTTTACTTTCAGAGATCCGGCTGATCCGAAATCCTTTAAGAGATTTGCCAATAACTAAGCCTAGAAAGACGCTGGAAAGCCCGGAAAAATCACATTTTACTCAGAACTCGATGCACAATCAGATGCGATGCCTCACGAGGATAATGGGTTTTCGAAGGGTTCTCAGAGGTTTCGAGAGAGCCGGTTTTTCAGTAAACCTCGTCATTACTGTGCAATCCTTCGTGAGGCATCGCATCTGGATGTGCATCGAGGTATGCTAACCGCCAGCAATGAGGTGACTTGGTCACAAGGTGAATTGGTTATCTTTCTACCGGCAATGTTATCGGGTCAGACAACTCGTTCGCCTTCCTTACTGACACGAAGTCAGACGAGATTTATGAAAAGAAAATGATTTAATTTCGGGAAGGTTAGCAATTAATATTTCAACAAATAAAAATTCAACAGGAAATGATCGCTGGTTTGTCCGCTTCCATTATTTCGACCGTCATGCCAATGGGAGTCAGTCTTTTTCAAATTATGTTGTCAATCATTCAAATCCTTCAAAACAACGAACAAAACGAAGTCATTGAAAAATAACTTAAACCAAATGTCACAACAATTACTCATTGAAAACGTAGCATTACCAAAACCAGCTTTTGGAAAAACCGCTACAATACATTCTGGTAATGGGGCTTTAAAATATTCAGGTCCAATAGACACGGTCGTAAACGACCGTATACGGCAATGTACAGCGATATACATCAGCCGTATACGGCGGTTTACGACTGCCGTATACGGTGAATTTCCTGTGATCTGTGTTCCTTGGAATTCCATCGCAAAATGATTCTTATAAGTTTTTCGATATGAACTAGTATTCGTTATGTGATCAAAATGGGATCAAATTGTTCTTTTGATCAACTACCCAGGTCCAAAAAAACGGCTCGTTACCGTCTAGATAACGGTTACACAAAAAACGGAGCGTTAACGTTCTCAAAACAGCAATAAAACGGCCAGAAAACGCTGGCCAATCTCTCACATTAATGCGCAAATGTCCACACGATGTGTAACGACATTCATAAGCAAAGTAATGAAAATTACTTAATCTATGTCCTGTGCGTAACGAGATAACCGAGATATATGAAATAGTTCCTCAGCGTGCGTAAGACGTGTATTGGGATATTTGAGATATTTGCTTAGTATGCGTAATCCGCGTATTGAGATATTCGGTGTATGTGAGATATTTGAGATATGTGCTTAGTATGCGTAATCCGCGTATTGAGATATTCGGTGTATGTGAGATATTTGAGATATTTGCTATATGTGAGAGTTTTGAGATATATGATACGTGCAGGTGCATGAATGTTTGGTAGCTTAGAAGAGCTGAGGGCGGTGGAGGGTTGTTGGCAGCATGAGAGTGAGTAGCGAAACAGTATTAGATGATTACCCAGATTTGAGAAGCTGGAAGTGTATTAGTAGGAATGTATCTATAGCCATCGTGCAGACTAGGACGCTGTGACAGTGGGGCTTCAGGGTTCAATCCGCTTCCTTGTTTTCTAAATATTTTACTATGATATTCGCATAGTTTTTGCTGTGGAATTAAGTTCAAGAATCAGCACCATCTGGGGTGTGCTGGTAAATCCAACTGCATGTGGAAACGAAGTCGGAAACCCTCAGTGCTCTGCTTTAACGCTACATAACGAGAAATGGTATAAATAATCTCGGTCTGAAAGTAAACACCAACAACCAACTGCTTCCATCTCCGTACGCGGATTACGCATACTGAGCAAATATCTCAAATATCCATAGCTTGTAAA